AGCAGCAGCACCAACAATAGAATTATCACCCATGATTGTAGCAGAAACTCAACAAATCACGTAGAGTATACCACAGAACACAGCACAGACACAAATATGGCAGATGCACGAAGACAACAGTGGCACAAACACAGTAGAAGCAGATGCACGAACACAGTAGAGGCACGAACACGACAGAGCACACAGCAGAACACGGCAAAGGCACAGACACAAGAATCCTAAAAGAAATTAGGGCACACAGTAGAACACGGGTGGGCACAACACACACAGGTCACCAGAAAGTCGGCTCTGATGCCAAGTCAAACAATATGGTAGAATATTTTCAGGTGTATTTCATTCTCTGAAAGGAGGTATTTATAATACAAGGTTACAAACCCTAGTAGGGTCAAACTGGGAAAACAAGTGGAATCCTAATTACATAATATCTATATAAAAGGAAATAAATAAAATAATATCCTCATAGAATAGGATATCTCTCGCTAACAACACCAACATTTTGAAAGTTCCTCCAGTCCTTCGTTGTAACTTTGGTCATTCTATGATATTTGAGTTCTTGCATTTTTGTGTTGCAATGTTGATTATTCATCTTAAAACAGAGCTCCTAAATCGATCTGTTTTATATGCTGCTTTAACTGCCTATATACCAATTATTTCATTGCATTTTGGATGCTAATCTATTCAATAGCTTATAATTTATAAGTAAGCTATTGAATGTTAACTCCTCATATAGAGGAGATCTAAAAAATAAATAAATACTCCTCATATAGTGGTTTTTCTCCTTTCCAATATTGGAATGGATCCCAATTACAAATAGCTTATCGTTAAGTAAAAAAGAGAGCAACCACAACTACAAACAAACAAGCATTTGTATGTTTGAACTATTCTTGCATGTCTGTTTTATGTAGAATATATTATATCATTTTGAAACAGTCCTAATTTGATCCTTCATGAACTTCAACTTCAAGGGGATCGCTCGACTTTCATTTTCTTTCGCAAACTGCCCTAGTATATACTACTAATCTGTTATCTGCTAAGCATATAGTCCTGGATATCTGTCAGACAATTAACATATGTTTTCATCTCACACGTAAACGCAATGCGTTCAGAGCTAATGTTAGCTTGCATTATATCTTAGTCTTTCTTCCAATCATCTACATTTCACCAACAACAACGATCCTTCCTTCATGTGCTCCATTACATCGTCTATGTTGATTGTGTATATTTTTTTTTTTTATCACAAAGATTTGTACGTACGTTTCTTTCCTTTTTATGTCGCATAATATAGATGCGACTGCTGTATATGAAAGTTGTGGGCACTAAAATTGCCTGCCTCCCACCTTGTTAGAAATGGCATGTCCTTCGTTCTTCAAGTTTATGAATTCTCAAGGATTGAAAGATGGCCAATTTCTAAAGTAGGGAGAGCTTATTGAAATTTGTATCAGGTCTTGTCTTTATCAAATCTTGAACTGGGAATACTTTCGCCCGTGTCTTTTTTGGATGAAATAATTCAGTGTGTACAAGCCATATGATGATCAAAGTGCATATACTTTGTCAAAGCAGAGACATCTATGTTTTTAAACAAATCATCATCTTTAGCAATTTGCTTTAGTCACAGGCTATGTGTCACATGTAGTTAATCTTTATATGTCGAAAAAATTTATTTTCAGTGTAAAATCATATTTATAGATTGATAAAAATATGTGTTACTTTACGCCCTTGCTGATTTGGATGTTGTTGTTGTTGGCTCTGTTTGTCACTTTTCCAGTTGGCTTATTGAAACGAGAGAATCCTTGCTCTGTTTGTCGTTCTCATTTATCTTTTGTTAGCAGTTTATTTATTTATTTTTATTTACATCATTGATATCTACATTGTTCTTATTTTAAATATGAGAACTTTTGGACTTTATAGAAACTGCAGTGCATTTTTCGATCTTCTTCTTCTATTGCAGTATTCATGTTTTGATGTTTTGATATGTGGTCACATAGAGAAGAAAGAGCATCAGCTTTTAATCACTCAAAGACAATGCGGGATGGCCTACTTCTTTAGTATTAGTCGGTGGGTTTGGTAGTCAGGTCAAATGACTCAGATGGGATGGGAGGCTGCTTTTCCAAAACCAACCCTGCCTTTGTTTACTTTTTCAACGTTCCCATAATCAAACGACATGCTTTGGCCTACTTCCATGTGATGCGTCAAGAATGGAAGTGGGGTGTGGAAGCTGAAAATGTTGTACTATCATGAAGAGTGAGAAGCCATGGGTGAGTTAATTAACTCAAAAGCTTGATTGAGAGATGTTTGACTTTTTATGAAGATGAAGATTAGTGATTAAAACGATTAGTGTGTGTAGTTTCAGTTTCCAACTGAGGAGCTTTGAGGAACAGATTTTTCTGGTTCATTGTCTGGTTTTGGAGATTTTAAAGAGAAGAAGCTCTTCCACTGTGTCAATACACACACTGAATTTAAGACCGTTAGGTTAATTAGGTGGCTTTGAATCTATGGCTATTAATTAACAGGTTCTAAATTGTATTTTTACTGTATTCCAGACTTGTATTTTTACTGTATGTATGAAGTAGTAAATATGTTGGCATGCAAACTCTGCATAGTTTTGTTTGGCATATCTTTTGCTTGGATTTGATTACGGTGTGACACATCCCTAGGCGAGGTAGTCTATATGGTACAACCTTTGAAATGGACACTCTAACTACCGTGCCACCTAAGTTGGATATTATTTATGGTATGAGTAGTTGGCCTTTAAGGATCGGTCATCAGGTAATGCTTTTGGGATTCCAAAAATGTGGTTTTAAAAAGTTGTATGAGCATTCCTGGTTTATTGAAAGTAAGTGAAATATTTCTTTTATGTTGTTGTGCTTTATGATTTTGGTTTCAATGTGAAACATGCTCGAGCTATACTTAGTATCTATTCCTGGGTAGTAGGTATGGTGGTTGGCTTCTTGGCATGCCGGTCAATGCTACATTGTTTTTTTCGGGCTTAAATAAGCCAAATTGTTATAAAGATACGGTTTTTTAATGAGAAAATATTACATATAAAAATAAACAATAAGAAAATAAGTTGCATATTGTGCAGTATTTTAAGTAGTAGCTCTCCTCTCATTATCATCTACTCCCTTATCCAATGGCAAAATAGCAGTGCATAAAACTAGAGCCATAAAAAAATACTTTATCAAGGCTTAATCACACTAATAAATGATGGGCATGAAAGTATTATAATAATTAGACATAGAGGAGGGCCTCCATTATTCAGAGTAAGTGGATTAGCTGAAGAAGGTGTAACATTACAAATTTATAATTGTGACTTTTATTTGTGCTTAACATGTGAACTCTTCAAACATAAGGTGCTAAATTGAAGTTTTGTGCAAATTTAAAGGACGTAAATTAAATTAGAAATTTCTTCCTGGGCCGGGTAGTTGTAGGTATATATGATAGTTGGCTTGGCTCCTTGGCCTGCCGGTAAATGCTACATTGTGTTTTTCCGCCCTAAATTAAGCCAAATCCTTGTTTTAAAAGATAAACAATAAGAAAATGAGTTGTGATGTCGTGCAGCATTTTAAGTTAGTCAACCAGGCGTTAGCATAGCTCCTCCTCTGCTCATCATCTACTACCTTCTCCAACGCCTTCTTCCTCTCTCTCTGTGACCAGGTATCTCTCTCTTCATCTTTCCTCTTTCGATTCGAGTTATGTTCTTGTTTCCTCCCTTGCTTGTTTTGTTGATTATTTTAGTGTTCTCAAACACCGATTCTGTGCTATCTCTGATTTACTCATCAGTTTTATATTTTTTTGGCGCATTACATTATGTTTTGTAAGGCTTTAGCTCTAAATAAACTGGTAACATCGTTCCCATCAGATAAATTAGTGATCGGTTGAACCCACTGCTATTGAAGACCTTTTTTTTGGGTATGCAAGTCAAGACAGAGACCACAACTCACAAGAGAAAATACAGCAGGTATATACATAACTACTTACTCTCTGTCTTGAACAAGATAACACATATTTTAGAATTAACTCAACGACTTATCCTCAAATGCGAGTTGTACATTATTTTTTTGTCTTTTTTTTTGTTTTCTCATAGCAAACTGGTTCAGTAATGGCAGAGACTTCAGTGAACATTGTCATTGACAAGTTGGTTCCACTGTTAAGGGAAGAAAGGAATTTGTTGAGAGGCATCCATGACGACGTTACAAGTATAAAAGATCTCCTAGAGAGCATGACATCTTTCCTAAAGGATGCGGATGCAAAAGCAGAAAGGGCAAACATGAGCAGCGGTGTCAAAACTTGGGCGAAGCAAACAAGGGAGATGGCCACTCACATAGAAGATGTCATTGATGAATACCTACGTCACGTAGCACACCGTCGGAACAAACGTGGATTGATTGGTTTTATTCTTAAAACCAATCACTTTGTTAGAGGGCTATTTGCACGCCACGAGATAGCCTCGGAGATTCAACTTATCAAAAAACGTGTCCTCCAAATCCAGCAAACAAGTGTAGCATATCGCTTCAATTCAACAGAGCAAACTTCATTTAGCTCTTCAAGGAAAGATAATATGTTATTTGACCCGCGAATAGCGTCACTATACACAGAGGAAGCTGAACTCGTTGGTATTCAGACTTTGAGAGATAAACTGATAGGTTGGTCGATAGGAGGAGAGGTAGCATCTAGACGCTCGGTCAGTTCATTGGTTGGCATGGGAGGTCTGGGAAAGACAACTCTTGCAAAGAAAGTCTACGACAACCAAAGGTTCACAGAATGGTTTGATTGGCGCGCTTGGATCACAGTGTCACAATCATACAAGAACGAAGACATACTCAGAAACATGATTGCAGAATTCCACAGGGTGAGGAAGGAGTCTGTACCAGAGGGAATTGAAACAATGGATTTGAAATTGTTGATTGACACTCTGCGAGAATATCTCAAGGAAAAGAGATATGCAGTCGTTTTTTATGATGTGTGGAGCACAAACTTGTGGGAGTGTGTAAAGCTTGGATTACCCGATAACAACAATGGCAGTAGGATAATTATCACAACTTGCAAGAGTGAGGTTGCTGCTTCTTGCAGAGAAGCTTTTTCTGATCAAGTGTACAACCTTGAACCATTGTCTCCAGATAAGGCGTGGGAACTCTTCTGCAAGAAGACATTCCGAGTTTCCGGGGGATATTGTCCACCAGAGTTGAACAAATTTGCTACTACAATAGTTAGCATATGTTAAGGATTGCCTCTTGCAATTGTGGCTATAAGTGGACTTCTACAAACCAAAGGCGGGGATGTGTCTCAATGGAGAAAATTGCTTGATAGTCTTAACTCAGAACTGGAGTCTAATCCTATTTTGACAAATATTACAAAAATTCTTTCTTTTAGCTATTATGATTTACCATACCAACTCAGACCTTGCTTCTTATACTTTGGGATATATCCAGAAAATCGCACCATCAAATGCTCTAGACTGATTGGGCAATGGATCGCTAAAAGGTTTATAAAGGAGCAGAGAGGGAAAATATTGGAAGATGTTGCGGAAGAATACTTGACCAAACTTATCCAATGAAGCCTAGTTCAAGTGTCACTAGTTGATGATTTTAGTGGGAAACTGAGACAATGTAAAGTCCATGATGTCACGCGGGAGGCCGTGATCCTTTTAAGGACTGAAGATATGAGATTTTCTCAATTTGTGGAAGAAGATTCAAGATTCAACAAAAATTCCAGGCACCTGTCTGTTTATAGCAATGCATACAATATTTTTGGTAGCATCGAAAACTCTCGTGCCCATTCCTTGTGTTTTTTCAATGGCATAGGTGACCCACAAAATCCTCTTACTACTTGTAGCAACTTGTACAAAAGATTCAAGCTGTTGAGAGTACTGGACTTTGAAGATAGTCTTCTTGACAATCTTCCTGAGGAAGTTGGATACATGTACCACTTGAAGTATTTGAGCTTGAGGAATACAAGAGTGAAGATTCTTCTGAAATCCATGGGGAAGCTTGTGAACCTTCAGACTCTAGATTTGAAGCATTCCTAGTCCATCAATTACCAATTGAAATCAATAAGCTTCCTAAACTTAGAAGTCTTTCAGCATACACTGAGGACACCAACAAAGAGTGTAGTTTGACTAGACGACGAGCTGTGGTGATTCAGGATGGGATCGAGTGTTGGGGACACCTGCAAAAGCTATATGTTGTGGAGGCAACAGATAGCCTTGTTAAAGAAGTAGGGAGTTTGACACAATTAAGAAGGTTCGGAATTTATAAACTGACTAGCAAACAAGGGAAAGATCTATGCGCATCCATTGGAAATATGCCTCACTTGAAATCATTGGAAGTAATAGCAATAAATGAAGATGAAATTATTGATTTACAGCATATCTCCTCTCCACCTCAACGTCTTCAAACTCTCATCTTCTTGGGGCGTCTAGAGAAGCTACCTGATTGGATTGCAGGACTTTGTCTTTTAACTCATTTAGGTTTATGTTGGTCAAGACTTGCAGGGGATCATGATCCCTTAAAAGTCCTTCAAGGTCTACCCAATTTAATGCAACTTGGGATCTATGAGGCGTTTAGTTGTGAGGAGCTGCACTTTGAAGGAGGATTTTCGAAACTGAAGGAGCTCAATCTCAGACACTTGAAAGGCCTAAAGTTGATGACAATACACAATGGAGCATTGCCCCTTCTTGAAACTTTGGAAATTGGACCTAGTCTGCAACTACAACAGGTGCCCTCCAGCATCCACCACATCGGAAATCTTAAATCTCTAATATTCGTTGATATGCCTTCGCATTTCATGGATGTGATTCATGTTCAAAAAACAGAGCATCGTGTAGGTCCCAGAGTTTTGTTTCAGAAATCGAAAGGTAATAATAGATTCAAAACTGTCAAAGTAATTGATTCAGCAATTTTCGTGTAATGGGCGAGACCATTGCAAGGAAGGAAACAGCAAGTACAGTAGCACTCATTCATATGTGTATGGATGGATATATGGCTTTCCAATACCAACCTTGTTATTTTTCATTTTTCTTTTCCAAGTTGTAAGAAGAGTAGTTTATTTTCTCCTTTTCTTATTATGTAATAAAAGGTGGCAATGGCTCATTGGCTCACCTTGGACTTTGCAAACATTTAAATGCATTTCCTTCCATCTTCTTTATTCAACATGTTTATATTATATAGGCTTATTTACACTAATGCCCCCTGAAAATACGGTCAAATCTCACATTCCCCCCGAAACTTAAAATAACCTACTTAACCCGCTTGACCGTGATTTGGTGACCCACTTTGCCCCCTGCCGTCAACTCCATACAAAAGTTTGTTAACTATGATGACGTGGCAATGATATTTTTGTAAGAGAGGCCACCAACTAAAGGGGTGACATGGCAACTAGAGCCCACCTCCACATAGATAAGAATATAATTAAATATTCTAATGATTAAAACTAATTAAAATAATTAAAATAAAACATTTAAAACAAAATTTAGACCCCAACTGCCCCAATCTTCAACTTTCATCCACACATACCCTTCTCCTGTCCTGCAAATACACTTGGAAGAAACAAACTCATCCCACCCTCATCTCAGCCTCCCCAGCCACCATCCCTCCTCCTCCTCCCTTGACTAGCCACAAAAACAGTCACCCCCACCCCATCTCACGAACCCATCCCCATCCTCAACCACAGCCCCTTCCACTGCCCCTTCCCCAGCAAACTTAAAAGTTCCTTAAAAAAACAAAAACCCAAAACAAAAAAAAACCCCAACAACTCATATCAATCTTCTTCTTCAATCAAATTTCCAGAAAAACTCACCCACCTCCGAATCGCCATGCCTCATGAGAATATAATACCAAGCAAAACTAAATATATACAAACAATAATCCAATCCTGAACCCCACCCAATCCACTCCAGCCCCAAATTTCCAAAATCAGCCACAACACTCCCCTCTACACCATGCCCATATTGACCACTCTCATATTTAGAAATACTTCTCCCTCTACTTTGGATCTGCATGCTCATATAACAATGGAAGCTTGACATGTTTTCCCCAATAAAAAACAAACCAAAAAGTGGATTTTACTTTACTAAAGCTCTGGTTAGAGCAGAGCCCATGAGTTAGGTTTTTCACATAAGGCAGATGAAGGACTGGTGCTTAAAGGTGGGGTCATAAGTCAATTGACTATGGTTGCTCCTTAAACGCCATTTGAATCAATTGGTTTATTTCATTAATTTGAGTTTTTTTTTTTGGTCAAACCTTAATTTGGGTTTGTAAGAGAGAGAGAGAGAGAGAGAGAGCAATTGACAGGGATAAGGGAAAATGGGAAAATGTAGGGTGAGTTCTGATGCAGCGTGTGGCTGGGTGTGGGGTGGTGGGGAGGTAATGTTTGTTTGGATGAGAAGGTGGAAGGGATTGACAGGGATGAGAAGAAAAAAAATGGAGACACGGGCGCATCGAGGGAGAAAAAATTGATTACTTTCCCTTTGTTTTAAAAAAAAATGTTTTATTTTAATTTTTAATTATTAGAATATTTAATTATATTTTTATCTATGTAGAAATAGCCTCCACTTGCCACATCATCCACTTAATTGGTGTAATGATCATGTGTTTAAAATTACAAAAACACCTCTGCCCCGTCATCAAAATTAATAGACTTTTGTATGGAGTTGACAGTAGGGGGCAAAGTGGGCCACCAAACCACGGTCAAGCGGGGTAAGTGGGTCATTTTCCGGGGGTAATGTGATATTTGACCGTAGTTTCAGGGGGCATTAGTGTAAATAAGCCTATTATATATGCCTATGCTAATACTAATTTCATTGCATTCTGGATGTTAATCTATTACCTGTTAAGCATATATATATGGACTAGTCTTTGGATATTTGTCAGACAATTAACTTCTTTTTTCTATAGTAAGTTAGTTGAGTTCTTCAACCTCTATCCGTACTGGCAGAGATTCGAAACTCAAAGGTGCAATGGCTCATTGACTCGCCTTGGACTTTGGAAACATGGATGCTTGAGAAGTACTTTCCCCCTTCATTCTTTGATATCATGGTTCATCTAGTAGTACATCTTGTCAGAGAAGTTCATCTATGTGGGCCAATATATTTTAGATGGATGTAACTGTTTGAAATATATATATATATATGAAAGTGCTAAAGGGGTATGTTCAGAACCGTACTCGTCCCGAAGGTTGCATTGCTGAGCGATATATAGCTGAAGAAGCTGTAGAGTTTTATATCGAGCATTAATCTGATGTTAGTACAGTTAGAGTGCCTTCAAGCCAGAAGATGGGAGTTTCAAAGTCATTATCAGGTTGCACAGTGAGCTTAGTTGATCGGGACTTGTTGAACCAGGCACATCTATATGTCTTGGAGGATACGGAGGAAGTCCTACCTTATATCGAGTACGTATGAGTTTTATTTTTCATATGCAGCAATTTTAAATATTATTATTCCTTATGTTTATCTTATATACAAGGGACCGTAATGCTTGATTTTTTCGTGTCAATGTAGGGAACATATGATCAACATCAAGACTACTTATCCAAAATTTAGAAAGAGAACAAAGTGGCTGTAAGATAAGCACAATAGCACTTCCATTCAATGGCTACACTTTAAGGTATATATGTTATTGAATCACATATTGAACTTTTAATTTTCTTTCTTTCTATATGTTAGATTGAATTAAGATGTATGATTAATTTGCAGGTTCAAAGTGAATTTAATGGGGAAGAGAATAATGACGTATCAGAAATTTTGAGGTGGCAAGCAGCTAGTCCAAGCATGACAGTGCCATCATATAGGAGCTATCTTATTAATTGTGTTAAATTTAACACCAAGGCACAAGATGATGTGCGAACTGTCCAAAATAGTGGAGTTTATTTACTTTCACATACTATGCAAGTTGCTAGTGCCAAGGATAAAAACCCTATTGTCTCCAATATGGATTTTTATGATGTTATTCAAGAAATTTGGGACCTTGACTACCAAAAGTTTAGAATCTCATTCTTGAGGTGTTATTGGATAGATAACACTTAGGGCCTTGTAGTCGACGAACTTGGATTTTCCCTTGTAGATCTGAGTAAAATTGGACATCGAAATGACCAATTTGTTATGGTGTCTCAAGTCAAACAAGTATTTTATGTTGACGACCCAATGCATCGTGGTTGGTAAGTAGTGTTATCAATGCCTAATAGAGAATATAATGATGTTATTGGTGATGATGTGCTAGGTGATATTAGAATTGAGTGTGAGCCATTTACTAGAGGGATACCAAATGTTGACACATTTGATGACCTAGTGGGTGAGTTTGGGAGTGAAAATATTAGAGATGAGTGTGAAGATATATGGATTGATTGATTGTTATAATGTATGACATTAGTTATGCAGTTAATTATATGAAATTAATTAATAGCTCTGTATATCATTTTAATTCTGATCATATTTTCATTATGCAGGCTTTGGGCACGACAAATCAAAAATATAAAATACTGGATTAAAGGTGTAAAATACGACGGTCCAGTTAAAAAATTGGAAAAACAGACGTCTAAAATAAAACCAACGTCGTGGAAAGAAAATGCAAAAGACCGTAAAGAAATAAAAACCGCCATATGAAAATGAAAACACGTCGATTTATTAAAATTAAATTACAAGCAACTAGTAGTAATAAACATCAACAACAGCCTACAAAAAACCGCACGTCGTATATTTCTCTATAACACGACGGTGGAGTACTCCAAGCGACGAATTTGTTAAACACTACTTCCACGATTAAAACTTTCTGTCGTCTAAAGGGTGAAATAAAGGCATCTCAATTCCATTAACTGCCGTGACAGATTTTCTGCACGTCGGTTAGTCTAAAACATATGATGCCTTAGAGAATACACACGTCAAGGAGGGTTACGCAAGCGACTTTTAAAAGGTCAACCACGTCAACATGTATTAGAAACCGACGTGGTAAGAAATTAGAACGTCATACAATTGGATACTCGTGACATAGTGAAGGAATTAACCACATCCTTTATTTTACAAAAACCGATGTTGAAGATATAATCCACATTGTTTCTTTACCTGTCCACGCCTTCAATATAATTTTTAACGTCAGCCTTTAACAACAGTAGTAGTGGGTAGGATTTGTTATGTCGGTATTCAGTAATATTGTGTCATTTTAAAGTATTCAGACATCCGTTTTGTAGAAAAAGCATCGTCTAACTCTGTCCAAGGGATTCTTTGTATAATTTAAACGACGATTCTCGCAAGAAACAGACGTGGAATATTTTTTAAAAGGCGTTGTTCTCCTACATTGCGACGTGGATAATCATATAAGCGATGGTTTTTCCACATATGTGTCGTGGTTAATTAATTTTACGTCGGTGCCTGTGTGATTATTGACATGTAATATGCTTTAAACGTCCGTTCTTTTTTGTATGCGTCATCTTTTACAAGTTAGACATCGGTTTGTTTATTTATTTAATGTAGTATAAGTTAACCACGACGGTTTCTAGGTTATACAAGTTTATATTCCTTCAATTAGGGACGTGGATAATTATCTGTACTTCGGTGCTTGTTTTGATCTTGACATGTAACTCTCTTTAGACGTCTTAGTTTTAATAAAACCGTTGTCTAATTTTTCATTTTACGCTATATATATAGTAATTAGACGTCGGTTTGTAATATTTTTTGACATTGAATGTTTTAACGACATCGGTTATTAGCTATCGTTGTTTTATATATCAAAAGATGGCGATCGATTTCACGACAGTTTGAAAACCTTCTAGACGAAGGTGGATTCCTGTCGTCTATTTCGATTTTTGTAGTAGTGTCATCTTATAATTCTTTTTTTTTTTTCTTTTGTAGCAGTTCTTTTCATCTCGGGAGGGGTCTAGAATCTAGTTCACCTTTCCCTGATTTGTGTTTTATAATTTACTTTACCCTAGTTAACAACCTTTTTTCTTAGATAGATAAAATCCTTGTATTGTGTATTATCGGTCCCAATGATGAGCCAATCGCCAAAAGGTTTTCTTTGTCAAAAGTTAGATTGTAGATAGTAGTTACACAATAGCATGAGTTATAGGTGGGTAGATGTTTACTACTTCTGTTAAGATTGTGCGTCTGATAGTTCTGTTTGTGGCAAGATGTGGTTTCTAAGAGGAAACACACAAGTCATGATGGTAGGGGTAATTGGGGCACTGTAAAATGCAAGTGAAGATTATACTGGTGGTTACAGGATTTATCTCGGACCTAGTTTTCAGGTTCTGGTTCATGTTGCTAGATTTTGTGAGTTACAAGGTTCAGTGAGTGCCCAGAGGATACCAAAAGTACCTAGGGACTACTGTCCTTTAGCATATCTTTGGTCATCCCATGATATTTGAATTGCTGCATGTTGATTTATGTGGAATATCTTGAGGCAATTGATCAAATATGTTTTTATGGGCTCCATTGAAGGAGGACTTCTGAAACTAAAGGAGTTCAATCTTATAAAGTTGAACAGTTTAAAGTTCATAGATGGGATTCAAGTTCAAAAAACAGAGCACCGTGTAGGTCCCATAGTAATTGTTGTGAAGACAGAAGGTGAAAGAGTCATGATCGCCAAATTAATAGATTCAGCAGTTTTCAATGTAGCACTCATTAGTGGATATATGGCTTTCTACCGACAACATTTTCAAAGTACCTCCACTCATTTTTATTGTATGTTTGGTCGTCCTATGATGTTTGAGTTATTGCATGTGTATCTTACAATGTGGACTATATCTTGAAACAGAGCTCTTTGTTGAAAAAATCTCCCTCTTTAAGAATAAATTTGTTGCATCAATATATATAGTGAAGTTTTAAGGTGTTGGTATGGATCGATTCGGTTCAGAAGAGACCCCAACCCGTTAAGTGTACCAAATGACAAAGAAGCAAATCAAAATTGAAACAACAAAGCTTTCACGTTGAAATGTTGATTAGGTCTGAATCCGTGATTGCATAAACATCAGAATAGATTGCTTATCTGAAGGAGTAACATTATGTTGAAGAATACACACAGTCCCACATTGGAAACTTAACAAAATAGAAATTCCCACAAACAATATTCTCTGATAAGTTCTCATATTTTAACATGGTATCAGAGCCAGGTTGGTTGACTGGGCCTGATTAAACCCAAATCAAACAAACTCAAATCAAACAAAAAACCTCAAATTGAACCAAAATCAAACAAACCCCAAATTATAAATAAATAAAGGTGACCGATGTGGAATTGGTTGCACGTGTGGCCCACTAAAAAGTGGTCCCACGTGAGGAGGAGTGTTGAGGAATACACAGAGTCCCACATCGGAAACTTAACAAAATAGAAAGTCTTATATAATGAATGGCTTCACTCCTAATAACATCGAAACCTTTTATATAAAACCTCACAACTGTTAAACAAGTGGTTAAATTGAGGACAATATTGATGTTGCTAATAGAGGGGCCTAGGGTCCATCCCTCTGAAATCTTAACACATTACACATGCATTTACAATTTTGACACAATTTTATGCCTAACATGTGAACTCTTTAAACATAAAAGGTACTAAATTGAACTTTTGTGCACATCTAAAGGACGTAAAATGAATGGTCTCATTTTTGTTTTTCTAAGGGTCAAAGAATTAGACCTAGGTTTCTCTCCCTGGGATAGAAAACCCAAAGTTTGGAGTCCTAGCCGCCACCCCCTTTGGGGGAGGGTGACCTCCCTTTGCTCTCCCCCTCCCCTCCCACTCTCCCCGGCCTCTGCCTGGCCCCTCCCCTCTCCTCTCGCTCCGCTCCCCTTTTCTTTTCTTTTTTCCCGTCTTCTCTTTCCCTCCCTCCCTGAACTTTCCTACTCATCCCTTTCCTTTACTGTTACTGTGGCTTTTTCTTTTCTTTTTGCTGGAGGTGTGAGGTTGGGTGTGGGTGGCTGCTTTGTTCTGCTCCTTTTCTGGAGTTACTGTGAGTTTGCCTCTGTGTTTCAGTGGCTGGGGTGTGTTGCCCCCTGTGGTTGCCGGCGGTTTTGTTTTGCTCTATTTGTCTTCTTTTGCAGGTTTTAGTCCTGATTCAGGCTGTCTTGCTTTCAGCTCTGTAATCCGCTTCTATTTGTGATTTGGAGGCATAAGAGTGACCAAGTGTGCTGTGCGGTTCTCTTCAGCCTTTTGTGCTGCTTGTCTTCATTCCGTCTGGGGTGATCGATCAAGATTCTCTTCTAGTTTCGACTTGTAAGAGTTTGTCCTGCTTTTTCTCCTCCTCGGAGGCTGATCTTGGTGGGTTCGTGGTTCTCTGTTTGTTCCATCGGCAGTCTGCGCCGTGGTGGCTCATTTTTTGGTGCTCCTACCTAGATCTAAGCCGGGGGCTGCCCTTCGGCCTGGTCGTTTTGGGTGATCTCTGCTCTACCTGGAGTTGCTTGAGCTTGCTGTGCGGATCTTTGGCTTTGCAATTTTCTTGTTGTGTTTTTGTGCTTCTACTCGTTTTGAGTGTGTTGCTTGTTGCAGTCTCTTACTTGCTTTTTAGGCGTTTAGTGTCCTATGCCGGATTTTTCCAGGCTCGCGGTCTTTTTACCGCTCTTTCTCTGGCTTTCTGTGGCCATGATTGGAGTTCCCGAAGTTACCGGTGTTCTCCCCCTCTGGACTACTGTCCACACTAGCTCTCTCTGGCCTCCTATGGCCATGACTGGAGTTCCCGAGTTTATCGGTGTCCTCCCCCTCTGGACTACTGTCCACTCTTGTATCAACCCTAAATGGGTATCAGTTTCTGTCATTGCTATGGCCTTTTTGGCTCTTGTACTGGTCTTTACGGTCTCTGTACTGGCCTTCTTGGCTAACGGCCTCTGTGCCTGATCAATGAATGCAAT